AATATTAAAACCAAGCAGAGTTAAATAAGCTATTGAACAGTAATAAATATATAAGAGAGATGGAGTGGGTTTGAAAAAAGGTAAACCAGAAATTGTTTATATTTATCTATGAATTCTGAAAGGAGGAAGTGAAGACTTTTGTTTTCAAATGGTGTTGTCTCTGTCTCTGCCTATTTGCACCTCACTGTGCTGTCTGATAACACCCTCTAGATGGTGATGGGGGATTCCAGCATGTTTAGTTTCTCCTGACTCCATGACTTAGAATAGATATCTGGTGTGGGTTTGGGTTTGTTTTTTTAAAAAATATATATAAAGTTATTTTTGACAAAGTGTTGGCATAATTGTAGGTGGTGTTTGAGCTAGTGTAGATTTAAACATTTAGATGATAAAATCAAAAGCAGTCATGAAGAAAATGGCCTGTTACCCTTTACTTAAAACACTGCATGGATACTGGAGCCTTTATTTCATAAGGAGTTATGAGCATACAGCAGAATATTTCTAGGCAACTAATTTCTGGTAGGGATTATGTAAGTTTTGACTTTGCTTTTCTTTGGGTTTCTCAACAGCAGGACACTGCTTCAGAGATGTACAGTTTCCTTTTCTTAGCACAGCTAAAAGCCACTACTTTAGCTCTCCGGTAGAGTAAAAAAAATGCAGTCCTTACACCAGAGAGCGCTAGGATTTCTTTGATTTGCAAATAGTTGCAGCTGCCCTGTTTGCAAAAAAACTAAACAACCCATTACCCCCACATACCTGCTATAAAAAATAGATTGCCATTTAAAGAGTATTTTTGGCTTGTCATATGTAAGAATGGAAGTCAGCATGTTACTGTTTGTTTGGGGTTTTTTCTTTTTGAAAACTGAAATCTGGATTATTTTTAAAAACACTGAAAGAAGTTGACTAGTCATCCTTCCTCTTGAAAACACCAAGGTATTTTGAAACATTCTGCTGGACACAAAGCATATGGCATTATCTCTAACTTTTTTATTTGTGATGGGGATATGTTGCTTTGCTTTTTGTGGGGTATGTTAAAGATGGTATTAACATTAAGCCTGGTTGCTCAGGCTTAGTGTTAACCATGCTTTAGAGGAAATAGCGGCCAAAAAAAGAGATGGAAACCTGATTACTGCATTATTATTCCAGTGTTAATGTGATGCTGCAATCCCTTTATCATCTCTGTGGCCCTTCCCTGGGCTTGGCTGGGAAGCCCAAAGCTAGGCACAGCAATCCAGGTGTGACTTTACTGGTACTGAGCAGAGGAGAAGGATCAGCTCCCTTGGCCTGCCGGCAGTGGTCTTCCTAATGCAGCTCAGGATGCTCTAGGCCTTTCTTTGTGTGACTGGCTCACAGCCAGCTTGTTATCCACCTGGACCATCAGCTTTTTCCTGCAAAACTGCTGCCCTGCTAGCCACACCCCAGCATATACCAGTGCTTGAGGTCAATCCTCCCCAGGAGCAGGATTTTGCTCTTCCCTTTGTTGAACTTGCTGATGTTCTGTTGGCCCATTTTCTCAGTGTGTAGTGGTGCCTCTGAGTGGTGCCACATTCATCTGGTTTATCAACAATGCTTCCCAGTTTTGTGTCATCTGTAGATTTCTACTCGGTCACGAATGGAGATGTTAAAATAATATTGGACCATGTATGGCCCCTGGACTGTTTGCAGCTGATAACAATCTTCCAAGGCTGACAGTTCAGCCTGTGTCCAGTACACCTCACTGTCCACCACTCACTGCCCTTTTTTTGTCACTTTCTTTATGAATATGTCCTGGGAGGCACTGTCAAAAGCACTACTAAAGTCAGGACCAACATATGTCCACGTCTCTCATCTGCCAACACAAAAATCTCTTTATGGAAAGCTCACAGGTGTATCAGACATTATTTCCCCTTCATAAATTCAGGCTGAAGTCTCCTAATCACCTTCACATGTTCTGGAATTTATTTCCAAGATTACTTGCTTGGACACCTTCTAAGGGATTGAAGTGAGCCCGACTGGCTTATAGTTCTCCAGATCCTCCTTCTTGATCTTCTTGAAAATAGGACTGACATGTTTTCTCCCAACTCTGTTTTCAGCTAAACTTACTAAGGGAAGACCTTTAGAATGCAGTTTCCATTTTATGACGTGCGTTGCTTGTTATTTTTATAAGGATACTTAATTTAGACACTGCAAATAAAATAATATTTTTTTGCTGATTTCAACTTTACTATATGTTGATCAAATCTTCATTTTAGGGCTTGAAGCAGCTCTAAATATAAATAAGGCCATATACTAAAAGTAGTGTACTATATCTTGTTAATTTTTTTCCTCTCTTCCACTTCATTAGCTGAAACCAGCCCAGGTTAATTGAGACTGGGAACTCTATTCCAGACTACCATCTTTAGAGAGTAATCAGTTTTCCTGAGAGAATCACTTGAAGATTGTTAGGGAGGACCCTTGCAAAAGCCTTCCTTTGATGCACGCCATAAATCATTTATGTGAGCTAGCAGCTCCCTACTCCCCATCAGTATGAAACTTAGCAACCTTTATTCTGGTCATGGGAGGGGGGGGCTTGAAGATTGGTGTGAGCAAACCAGGACATCAGTCAAGCTGAATTGATTTAAATCATAATTAAAAATGAATACTTTAAAAGAATAGAGAAGCTTTTGTGTGTTATATGTTGTTTTCCTTGAAAATGCTTGGTTTTCACCATCTGGAAAAAAAGTGAAATTAGTTGCTTGCTAAGTAATGTTAGTGCTTTATGCTAAAGTAAGCTCTTTTTTTTCACTTTTAAGCAATTATACAATCTAACACAAATATAGCTTAGCTTTCTTAATATTTGTGCATTCTAATTTTATAAGGTAATGATTGATGCATTTCCTGCTTACCAGCTAATAATTAATTTTAATTTGGGACATTTTGATGGAAATTTGAATTCAATTAAAAGTACAGAAACCAAAGAGTATACACTTTCCCCCAAAACCATAATTCACATGGAAAACTACTGAACAGGCAAAACAAACAAAAAAAAAAATATCTTTATTGAATGAAGCAAAATGTTTCTGGATATTGTGGTCTGCTAGTTTTTATAATTAATGAAAATCATCTTGAGCAGGAAAGGTACAGGTGGTTTCAGTCTTACAAGATAATTATGATTTTTCTTCCGAAAAAGTTAGGCATAAAATATGAACTATGAAGTGTCACAAAGGGGTTTATATTATCTTCCATGTTTTTTAGAGTACTTTTAATCTATGGTTTATTGTAATAAGCAGATATTTTCAGATGTAAGCAGGTGCTTATTTTACTATGCAGGAAATTAGTGTTCCCCAGCTTTATTCTGTATACAACTGTGTTTTGTTGGTGGAGTCAAGTATTGAGTATATAAATTTTTATTTTTGTTTTAGATCTTATTTTGACAAAAGAAAAAATACAGAGAAACTTTTTAAGGACTATATTGGTGTTGCTCCTTTTTTGTGGGCTGTATGAGATAAGGAGTGTGCATGGATGCGCAGACCTTAGAATAGAGTTCAGGATTCAACACAGAATTTGGTTTGGGTTTCCTCCATTCCAATGATAATAATTTTCTGTGAGGGAAGGGAGGAACGGATTCTTAACCTGCCTTAGGCAGATTCAGAGATTTTTTTTAAAGTTCCATCTTGTCCGCTATTTGCAAGTAAGGAGACACCTTTTCGTGGTTTGGGTCTCTGATGCCTGGGCCAGCAGGTCTCTCCTTCATGTCTGAGGTGCTCATCCCCTGACATACCTGGACAGGAGGCTGCAGGATCATCTCCTCTAGTTACATTAGAGGAGGCTACCTCAGACTTCATGCCATCTGAAATTCAGACCAGTAGATCTGTTTCCTGGGACACACTGCGTGCAGTCAAACCTCAAGATGATGAAGCTGTCAGGAGGAATCAGCAATGACTGAAGCAATTGGTTGCTATGGCTGTTGCAACATGATTGCTTTCTGTGCTGTTTTACTGCCTTACTCTGCAGGCACACAGTTTGTGGTAATTGGGAGTGGGGCTGTGATGGAGCCTCATCCCTAATGGGCTACAGCTGTGCAGGACAGATGAATAATATTTAAGGTAATGAGAGATGGAGTGCTGAGGTGCACTGACCAATCACAAAGGGAACAGAGAGCACACAGGTGCAGTGCATGAACATCAGGGGTGTAAAAGGTTGGGCTAAAGGATGGGAAGGGTGGGTGCTTGAAGCTGTTTGGTGTTATGGTGTTATTCTGTATGGGCCAATGCTTTCTGGTATTGTATGGTGATGCTCTGTGTATTGTGGCTGTCTCGACTGTGGCATATGCTGTGACATTATTTGTGTGATGAATTAGGCCTAAGATGCTTAGGGGTAAATTAAGAATAGTAAAGTGTAAATGTATGGCTCTGTAAATCTAGCTCAGAATGTGCAGTCTCTGAAAGGTTAATATAATATGTAATAGTGGATGGAAGAGCTGACAACTCACATAAAATCGCTTCTAAGAGCTATCTGCAAGCTTACTTCTGTTGCTAACCAAAAAATCTGATTTCTTTATTTTCATGAATATAATGTGCAATTAAAATGAAATTATTTGTAAAGGTAAAATCTGTGATATTTGGAATTTGTTATGGAAGCCTTGTAATCTTTCAATCAAATTAATAGCCATATCCAATGTTGTTTGCTAGGTATATTGTGTGTTTATGTTATATGTGTGCAGATAGAATGTTTTTGTTACTTTGGCAGTATTTCTTGTCTGTTTTCAAGTAGCTTTCTGTGGTTTGAGAATAGACTTAATGTTTATTCTGAATATTTCAACTTCAATATTAACAGAAAAAAAAAAAGTTTTGCACCTTTGGTATTGAATACTTTTATTCACAATGAAATGGAACAGCCAGTGCAGAACTAGTTGCTAGGGAAGGCAAGATGATTCTGCAGTTACTTAGCTTTCCACTTCTGTCTGAAGGCACATCCTTTACCTAAACTTGTGAAGTCTGTAAATTTTTTGGGCTGTAGTTTTTGGTTAAAGATTTTTTTTGACAGAACAAACATAAATTGCTATTTTGCAAACCAGTAACATGGTTATCCTTTCAAAATGACTTCTGAATTATTCTGCCAGCTGATGTGTTCCTATACACACATTCATGCCTTCGTGCATTTGAATAACGGAGATCCTGAAGGGAATGAGGACTTAATTTAGAAAGTGATTCTTAGAAATTTCTGGACACATGGGTTACAGCTTTATGTAGGACTTGATTATTTAGTTTCCTCTACAAACAGGTGGCCTTTGGCTTTGCTGACTGCTTTCATTAAGCCATTAACTGAGATGCTTTTAAACAGCTACATTTTCTACAAATGTGTTCAATACTGATGGTACTGGTGCAGCCAAATCTGACATGCAGGAAGAACTGAGCTGATGAAATTAACAGATGCTATTCAGATGGTAAGCGAGTGTTCTAAACTCTGTTCTGGTGCTTTTCAACAAGTGCATGAAAAAGGAAATGAACAGTTTTATTGAGCAAGTAGTTTGTCAGCTTTTAATGGAAATTGTTATTATTCTGTAACACTAATGCTGCTTCATCATCAAGTATGTCTTTTGGGGGCTAGACCTCTTCAGCACTGCCAAAACTGATTTTGCTCTGTTGCTCTGTGCAGTTCATTCACACAAATAAATGAGAAGATGCTAGAGGGGGAGAAGGTGTCTATGACAGTTTTGTCAAATGAAGACAGATCTCCTTCTTTTCTTTCCCTCCAGATTCCTGTCCTTATTGTACTAAAACTCATTTAACGAATTGGCAAAAGAAGGTTTTGCATAAAACTTTGAACTGTTGAATTGTTACATAATTTTTGCATTAATTCACCAGGCAGAGACCAAAAAAATCTAAAAGAATGTGTACATGACTTAAGGCAAAAAATCGTAGGAAGATGATTTCTTCTTTCAAAAAAGATCTCTGTAATTGTAGAATAATTCTTTAAAATGGCAAGTTTCATCCATTATTCCATGGAGTCCACCATTGAAAGGGGAAATGCAATGGGAGATCTGTTAGAAGTCATTTTCAGTTTAGATTGCTGTAGTCATGGACTGGTATTTGCAGGTGAAAAAAGCTTTTCCCATTTCTTACGAACTCTTACACCTCTGTTGTAGGTGCTTCAAGAAGGGACAATTATTTTGCAAGTTGGTGTTGTTTTAATGTGCAGATGAAATGGTTTCACGATTTAGAATTGTAAGGAAAAAATATCTATTTTAGGTTAAAATCTGTGGATTGTTCTTCCCTCCTCACCTTTTGCCATTGACATGAAACTCTTCCTTTGCAGACGAATCATATGGTTTAAGTTGTGCACCATGGAATATAAGGATGTGAGTTCTTAGTAAATTTTTCCTGGGTTGTGCACATGCCTGTAGCTCCAGAAGAGGGCATGATGAAGCGTGGTGGATCGCGTAGCACTTGGCCAGTTTCAGGTTGAGCTTGTATTCCAGTAGAGCTTGTATTGTCCTTGAGCTTGTATTCCACAGTAGAATCAAACATGAATCCAGTTGAAACTCCAGTGATTAAAATATAGTCAAAAGATAGATACTGCAGGCCTTTAGGGTGAGTCTTAACTTCTTTGGGGTTTCAGAAGGTTTAGAAATTGTATTGCTTAGAGCTTCATTTTTCTTGAGTGCAAAATTACCTTCATTTTTACCTGTGTTGGTAGCCCCTGGAAGCTTTATGCATTGACATGCTGAGCAGAGCTGAGAGAGTTTATGATTTTAATGGAAAGAGTGAAAAACTAGCAGAGTCTAAGATGATACCAGGACGGACTCAGCGGGGAAAAAGGGAATGGTTGGGTATGAAATGGAAATTTGGGGGATTTGAGACCCCGTGTGACCTGTGAACAAGTGCCCCAGCATGACATATATAGTTAAGATTTTAGTCAGCAGAATGGTGATTACTTATGCCATACAGTCTGAAAGTTTTACCATCACTTCTATAGAGTAGTTTGTATGGCAACTGTTGTTGCTTGTGAGTCATAAGTAGTAATCTGAAGTTCTTATCAATAAAATTTTATGCTATACACTCGACATTGTATTTGATATACAGAACACCAAAAATGTTCTACAGGAAAGTTTATTTACTAACAGTTCAGAGGGTTTTGCATGTTTATTGTTGGTAGTTTTCATTTTCTGCATCTGTAAATCTACGCTTTAGTTATTTCATTGCTATATATAGTCAAGAAAGGAAGATATTTTAAAACACATATAAAAAGCCTGTAAGTATTACTTGTAGCAAAAAATCAGTATCTAAACAAACTGCATCTAAGATTTAGTGCCTTGAAACTTTGCGGTTTATAGGAAACTTTACAGGAGATAAAAAACATGTGCTCTGCAGTGGATGAAAGCTGATAACTTTTCCCATATGAAAAATATGGGTTTTTAAAAACAGATTCATGATTTAAAACATTATAAATATGATTATAATGGTATGTTGCTTGTCCTGCTCCAAAAGTTAGATTAATTCTGGAAGAGGAAAGCCTTAACTTTTGTGGTTATAAATTAAAAAAAAAAAACCAACCCAAAACATTCCTGAGGTGTTTGCTTTAGCAGTCAAGAAGTAATCTGCTTGCCAAGTGACTGCTTTCCTCTCACTGGTATATGCAATTTTAAAAAGGACTATTCTACTTCACAGAACTGATAGAGTGCAGGAGAGAAAGGGGTTGTTTTCTCTTCTGGATATGTTTGCGATGGATATAACCCTTCATGTTCTCTTTGTGTTCCTGATGGAAAGATCAGTGGTGAGTCTATCAGGAGAAGAGACAAAAACATGTTGGAGAGCATATTGGAAATGCTTTTGATGCTGTTGATTGCATTGTTAGTTTCCACTCACCTGGCTTCATTCAAGAAAAGCTTATGTATTTTGTTATTAAGTATTGTCACATGTATTTTGTTATTAAGTCTGTTGTGGAGCTCTCTCTCCTGCAAAATGCATTAAATAGTCATGTGGGGTTTTTCATGCCTGGGACTTTAAGAATTTTTTCTGTACTTGGTTTCTTTCCAAAAAAAAAGGAAAGTTGATTCCAAGCTGCTTTATAAGAGGGCCTATTATCCTATTCTTTATCTTGCCTTGGCCTTCTCTGCTGTTATTGGTAAGATGCTGGATTAGTAATTTTGCTCCTAGCATAGTAGATTCTGTGATTATGTGGAAGTCCACCCTGAAATGTTCTCCTCACTGGAGGAGCCCTCTGTGATGTGCCATGAGAAGAATTCCACCTTAGGAATTATGGTTCTAGATTTTTCAGCTGTTCCTAAAATTTGTCTTCAGATGACTTATAGGTATTTGAAACACATAAAAATACTAAATGGACTGGTCCATACCATGTATCTGACATCTTGCACAACTTTTCCATGGTTTTGAGCATTTTTCAATAGGACACAGCTGCTACTCGAGTGATATTGTTAAAAAAGGTCTTTACTTAATGACACAGGATAGATAAAGGAAAACAACTTCCTTTTTTCTCTGCTTCTGCCAGTGTCCACTTGTATTGCTTTCTTTTTTTGCCCTGAAATAAAGTAGTATACACAGTGAAGCATCATTTCTGAATTGCTTGGGTGTGAACATCAGCTGTAATTAGTTAGGAGACATTTCTGTTCATATCTTATAGTGATGGGCAAAAGTGAAAGCATTGTGAATAAATTCAGTTATGTTCCTTGCTTTTCTATGTGAATATCCTTAGAGGTGTTGGAGTAACAAATTATAAATTAAATAACTTGTTGCTTTAAGAAAAGGAGAAATATTTTTTAAGTCTTCTAAGCAGTAAAGTCACAGGCATCATACAGGTTTGTGCTGTACTTAATGTTTAATCTCACTGTAGTGAGGAGTGCTGTCAAAATGAAATGTAAGTATAAAAGACTATTGGGCTAGGAGGAGGAGATGACCTTCCCAAAGTCATTTTATATTTCAGTAATATCAGCTGAAATATTGACTCTTGAGTATTGTATTCAGTTTCAGTCCCCTTATTCTCTAAAATGAGATTGAAGAGAAATTAGTAGAAGTTTTTCAAGAACCCAATTAATGGAAATGATGACTTCTGTGTGAAGGAATACTGAGAAGAGAAGTTAAAATATCACAATATGTATGACTGCTGTTTGAAGAATGGAATAAAAGTAGTATCTTGTCAGCTCATTATAATCCATTAATTCCAGTGGAAATTTTTACCTAGACCAGCTAGAAATCCTACAAGAGTAGCATGAAATTATGGATGGAAAAGCCTAGTCTGTATGGATTTTCCTGCATATCCTCTGCTGTGAAACAAGATGAAGAGAATTATTGAAATACCGCCATAATGCATTTTAAGTGAACCAGGTAGTGTTGTTCCAACACAATTAGCAGCTGGTGTCCCAATGGCCACTGCAGTTTTTGTCATCATATTTCCATCTATGCAAAAAACTGCTGAGAAATTTTGTTGTAATAGGGAAGGAATAATGTTGTGTTGTTTTGTTTACTGATAGTATGGAGCTAACTGTGGCTGTCAGTGAGCACTCAAACTTTCTTTTTAAAAATTGCTGTGAATGTTTGTACTTTTGCCAGTTAATCTGAGAGTAGGAATGCCAATGAGGAGAATAAAATATGGAAAATAATGCTGTGTTTTATATAGCACCTGCCATATTCTAGAATGTTAGAGCACTTACTAAATAGATGCTGAGATGGATAAAATATGACAGTGCCTATAAGCAAATACATCACCTGCTAAGCTTTCAGCAATATAACTGGCATAAAGCCATGAGCACCATTAGAACTGCTACTGAAACAAAGACTTGGCTAGGCCTCTAAGGAAAAAGCCCTTAAAATGTGCTTCATTAAAAATTGTGATAATGATCATAGAAATTATAACAAACCACAATAAGACTGGAAAGACCTTGAGATACTGACTAGTCTGGCCCTCAAAGCAGGTTGAATTTTACACCTGTTTCTTTTTAGCACAGCTGTTTAGAAATCTGCATGAAATAATGAAACTATAATAGGGTCTGTACAGGCCCTCTCTTACAACATGTCACTGTGTTTGTAGCAAGGCTTCTCCTTTATAACTTACACAAAGTTTTTAACTTTTGTTTTGGTGCGTGAATTGCTGCATGTCCTAGCCTGGGTGCAATGGAGACAAGGTTAATCCAAAGAGTGTTCTATTCTTTCAGATCTGATGATGATGGTGAAAATGCCTTTAGTTAGTTTCCTCTCTGGCTATATAGTCCTAGTATTTTCAGTCTTTCTTCATAATTTCTTCTTTGAGACTTGTAATTTCTGCTACTGTCTTTGGATACTTCAAATTGTTTTGTATTTTTTGTAAAGATTATGCCAAAAATTTGACTTATTTATTCCTTCCTGCTAAACAGGACAGGAATGCTTCCTATTTTATGTGGTAGATATTCCTGTTTATGTAGTCATGTGATGGCTCTTTTCTGTTTTTTGA